GGCAATCGTTGAGTCCGTCAGAGCATCCAACCGACGCGGGTGATGTCGGCGAAAATCCCCAAAATCGGAGGGCTGCAACGCTAGGGGCGAAAAGACTCCCCCCGGGTAAGGAGGGCGGAGCCCACCCAAACCGACCTCCGGCGTAGACGACGAGCGATGGTTGCGCCCGCAAGCCCGAATGAGGAAAACACCCGCTTGATCGACACCATCAATGCAGTCGGGGCCGGTTTTGTCCGTGTCTTGTGCTGGTAAAGGCAACCGCGAAAGAAAATCCGCGTTGCCGTTTGCCGAACCTTTCCGATATTTCAGGGTGTAGGTGAAGTTGGACAGGAATTCGAGCCATCGTTGCACTCTAGCGTTGTGTTCCCCAACCTTGCCAATGCTCTCCAATGCTTTGTGGTCCGAATAGATGATGAACTTGGTCGACCACAGATAACCGCGAAGGCGTTTGATGGCCCAAACAATGCCACCAGCCTCCAGATCCAAAACGGTCCAGTTACGCTCCGCAGGAAGAGTAGCGCGGCTGATGTACACGATGGGTCTCACCGAGCCATCGAGCTGTTCTTGTTCCAAGGAGGCGCCAAAACCGTCGATACACGCGTCGGAACACAAACGAAGAGGACGGCTGTTGTCCTCGATTGCTGCCCAATCCGGGAAGACCAAAATCGGGGGGCGAGCGAGTTCGCTTAACAACGTTTTGACAACCTTGACCATGCCCGGGGTGTACTTGAAGGGGACGCCTTGTTTGAGAAGAGAGTTGAGAGGCCGCACCTTGGTGGCGAGATTCTTGAGGAATTTCCGGTAGTAGCTGAGTCCACCGAGAAGACTCCGAAGCTGCTTAACATTCGTCGGCGGCGGCATGTGCGTGAGCGTCCCAACCTTGACGCCATCAGGGCTAACACCTGCCGGAGAGATGGTGTGACCGAGAAAGTTGGCGTGCGTGGCGCCGACGCGACCCTTCCCTGGAGACAGTTTGAGGTTGTACTGTCGCAGTCGTTTGAAGAACTCGATCAAGTTCATCACGTGTCCCAGAGGTTCCTCATCGAAACAGATGACATCGTCCAGATAAGCCAGCACACGCTCCAGACCGTGCACCACTCTGTTGATGACCTTGACGAACCAAGACGGACTTGCGTTGGCTCCCTGCGGCATCCGAAGCCATTCGAACAACTGCGTGGGAGTGTAAAAGGCGGTGAGCGGGACAGTGTCTTCATCACAAGCGATCTGGTGGAAAGCCGAGTTGAGGTCGAAGATGGAGAACACTTTCCCGGTGCACAAAGAATCCAATATACCGTCCACTCGAGGGAGAGGTTGTCCATCCTAATCCACCAGAGCGTTGAGACGTTTGTAGTTGACGGCGATGCGAACCGATCCGTCCTTCTTAGGGATGACAACTAATGGAGAAGCCCACGGAGACGTGGATTGTTGAATGAGCCCTGCCGCCAAATACTGGTCCAAAACGGCATCCACTTTCTTCTGTATCAACGGGTTGATACGATGCGGGCGCTCCCCGTAACCCGGCCGTCCGGTCCAG